ATTTATTTATTTATTTATTTATTTATTTATTTATTTATTTATTTATTTATTTATTTATTTATTTATTTATTTATTTATTACTGATGTAGGACTGTGTGAGTTATAAATTGTTCAAATTCTGCAACATTGGAAATTGTCACGCAGTATGATAATTACTGTTGATATACAGCCATTGCTACTAGACCGGGTAAGTCGTTTCATATTGTGTTATGGACCGCAACGTAATGAACGACAAGCGTAACTCATCAGTATCGCGTCTTGCATAATAATTTGCTTAATCTATCAATAAACTCGCCCTAGAATGATCAGCGTTGATCAATAATGGATTGATCTTTGACCTAACGTAGACGAATCTCATTATACGCCTCATTGCCATGGTGAAATGTCAGCTAGCATTACAACACCCGCAAATATAGTATATATTCATACACCATTGAACACTATACACTGAGTGTATTAGCGACAATTATCATTCAACCAAGGACGCATTGCTCAGGTGTAACCGTCATGGCCTTCGATCGAAAACCGCGGTAAATCTGCTGCTGGTGATACAGTATTTATAAGTATATATGATTTAGACATTATCATCTTTCATAAATCTGCATAAATGTGATGAGGAGTACATTAGTCATCTTGATGTTTAATCAAAATTCTCGAAGATTAAAGGAAACAAGAAAACAATACAAAATTAGTCGACTTTCAACGCTTCAAGGGGCTAATGTATAAGCACTGCACACATATATACCACCATTGTCGCCATAGGGCGGAAAGTAATGGTCCATATATAGATGTACGTTATCAGATGGCAACGGAAGATTGTCAAATGAACAGTACGTAATAGGCAGAAAGCATGCATTTTTATGAGGTTAACCTTGTGATTACTGCTCGCCAGGCTTGATAGCTGTCATATACTTTTCTGTGCACTAATAATGTCAGACTGCCTAAAGAATGTACTGCATTGATCGCGGCTACATTTTGCAAACAGTGTCAATTTAATGATGTTCTATAGTTAGTCTTGATATCTCGCACTTTCACGCGTGATTCGACAGATAAACCGTTTCAGCGTCATCGAAAAGACACGACTCACCTGGCTAAAGTACTTTGTTGATAGAACAGCGTTTACCCCTGGCGCTTACTTGGACGGGATAATCAACTATTTCTGACTTTCGTTGAAAAGGAATCTATAAATTATGACTATGATCTACACGACACCTGCTGTGATAAGGTTATGACATTTGAATAATAGCAAACGACAAACAAAATGCACTATGTGTCAGCACTAGCACTTGCAATTTGCACTTACAAAATAGAAAAAAAAGTTCAGGAGAGACAACAGTGACATTCAATGTCCGGAACTGTCCCCTGGCACAAAAACATTATTAAAAAAAATAAATAAATAAATAAATAAAAAAAAAAAAAAAAAAAAAAAATAGCAAACGACGAACAGTTTTCTAAAAAACCAACCAAATTTTACGATGTTGTCACGTGATATACTTAATATGTAAATTAAGTGTGTCTGCGTATCAAGTTGAATGCTATTTGGTGTCATGTGATATGTATGATACACATGCATAAGAATCGTGTGTTTGTTCTTTTATCATTTATTTTACCAACGTCACCGTTATATGCAACACATATTAGACAAGAGAGCGAGAGAGAGAGAGAGAGAGAGCGAGAGAGGAAAAATGCTGAGAACAGGAAATGAAAGTATACAATGATGTCGGACTAAACCATTTGAAGAGAATTCGAGGGGTGTACATTCAACAACCCATGTATAATATATAACAATTACTGACGTCTCATAAATATATTCCCTTCTGTTCCAATCCTGTGCGAGTGAAAATGTATCATAGTCCCACACACATTGAGTCCGTATTAGAACGCTTACCCTCGCACTTTTCATAACATTGATCGACCGTCCACTGATATCCTGTGTTCAAACCTCGCTTCGTGGGTGAACTCACGCTTTTCCATTGCAAGAAACGACATCAGCGTGGTATCGGCAGTGCGAGTCGTGCGGCCCTAAAGGCGACTCTTAAGTTAGTATTCGATGTCTCCACGAATCTGGACATATTTATCTGAGGCGCGGAAAGACCGGAATTCACGCTGTGAGACTAAATCAAGACTTGGAACCCAGAAATCGCCGAGAAAATAACTCCTCGGCATGTTTGGAGTGTGCAGCAAGTGTGTTTTCGTGCTGATAGTTATGTACGTATGGGAAGGTAAGAAGACGAGAAATCTGTTTTAATTTTCTAAATATTGACGCTTCGACTAAAAAGTGAACATTCAAACACGTATATAGAACCTTATTCTATGACCAAATAGGACATATAGCTCAATATATGTATGGTTGTGCTAATAGCTGCTGGCGAATGTAATCCGTATGCATATACTATCTCAATGACTGCTTATGCGATGCTTGCAACCTGTGGCGATTCAAAAGAATAATTTCGAAATATAGTGATTTACGTTATAGACTTGATGAAGTAATTGCTTTAGAGTTGCAAATAATCGACATTCTTACATGGCGATCACCTGTCACACGCTGGTATAAACATCGATATGCATTCCGTGTACAGATATACAAATGTACGTATTGTCATATAATATCATTCGAATATGAAATAATACAATATTAGTGTGTAATGGTATACTGGAGTGAAAAAAATATCAATACCATCAAATTTTTCATTGATGTGTGCATTGTGTTCGTTTCGGCTATTACAAATACAATTAAATGCATACTTATTTTTGTTAAAGAAAAACAAAATAGTAAACCGACAATAAGTTTGCGTGTTCAAGTGAATGATATGCATCGGGAATCTTCAAAACAATTGAAATGTCGGTGTATTTAAAGATGTTTAGGAGAATGGGGGATATTTTTCGCGTAATAAAGCTTCGTCCATGCATGAACACATGGCGTGTGTTGATCTACTACATTAACGGAACAATACTAGTGTAACCGATTCCCTACTCAATATGTATGCTAAAGTAAATAACAGTGTCTGATATGTAGTAGCCTTATGTTTATGTGGTGTTCTACTGTTATGTTATGCTTCGATCTGTACACATTTATTATACACATTGAGATGTCTTTGTAATTCTTACATAGAGAAAGGGAAACTAATTCATATCCCCTATTCCACGAATGAATACTGCTTATCTCTGCCATGTTAGTTGGAAATCAGCGTGTCATCACGGGTAAGCGCAGACATTACGTATTCCCACACAACTCCTACACTCCTCGAATGAAATATAGATATTTTACATGATATAGCCGCAATGACATAGCCTAGGATTGCCTTATTTGACTTTTCAAACAATTCTTTTTCGGAAACAGACATCAAAGGACTATCTGGCACGCTGTTTGCTGGATGTGTTTGATATTCCATTAGCTGATGCATTACGTATGCCAACAAATACAATCATTGTATTCCATGTTTATATTTTATATTTATAATGATTTTAAGGCTTATTTCTAGTTTATTCCATATTTCGTGAATATTTGAAGAAAACTGAATATAAATTTTCTACATTTATGTGAAGAATACTGAACGCGTGATTTTATAATGCCGGTATAATTTCTGTCATCTTGTATTGTACTTCGACATCATAATACGTCATTTAATACACGACTGGACATAGTTACAAACAAAAATAATGAGCAATTACCTTTTTCGTAATTGTAAATAAATGTACCCAATGCAAAACCAAACAAACCAAACCAACGTATTACGTAGGCCTCATAATAATTCGAATACTTACACAACAAAACTCACTCGAGACTGATTGAACGCGGTTTTAACCCAAACAAGGACGAAATGTCCATGTGGTCGACATATATTTTAATCAATTTCTCAATTAGATAAATATATAAATGTAAAATTCAATGCGATTCCTAAGTAACGTAATACTATGTCCAATCTGACTTCCCTGGCTTTAGAAGGTTTTAAGATGTTAGAAATTCGGTAAACACGATACTACCAGTCTGAGCGGTACCCCCTTTTAATTGCATAGTTAACAAGGTGATGGCATTTTGAAACTCTTGCAAATGCACATCTAGCTAGAATGTTATTACATGTTTACGTGAGAACAAAACAGTACATATTTTGACCAGGTATTTAACAGCAATCCTCATATATGTGTGGTTGAGATATTTAGTTCACGATACCTTACGGAGAAAATCACTCCGTTGTTTCATGTGGTACACAGCCCATTCAGTCGTCATAGAAGAATTCAGTTAATATTGCCGCATATCTGGGATCACTGCAACCAATGGTTTTTTTCCTCAAAAATATTTCGCTTTCATGGGCGCCTACAAATACATGCTACATTCACTTCGTCGAGTTGATCTTGAGTTGATCTTGCTGTTGTTGTATGTTGGTATAAAGATTGCTTTTCATAAACCTTGCCACTTGTAACGAGAACGAGGCTACGATTTTAATAATATATGTAAATATGAGTCGCAAACGCTATGGCATATTAATTATTAATAGGTGACATTTGACAATTTTTTAAATGTCATTCATTAATAGTTAACATATTGTCGTATCTTAGCATACTGATGTCGATGGAAAAGTTCTATGATTCATACACACCTTGGTAATGTCTTACCTTAGCACATACCAACACGACAACGCAGTAAATATTATATGAGTTTTTTCACACTATAATAAAGTTTTGCCCTATCATGCTGTCCTACATAAATTTATTACGCAGTAAATATGTTCTGATCCATACACAATATAATAATAAT